TCAACAGCTTACTTCTGGTAAAACCAATCTTAATAATCAATAACACAAATGAAAGCTGGTATTTCATTGAAGGTTCTTAGACTAAAACATATAGGATAATGTAATTAGGTGAAAAATAATTTTAATTGAAGTAAGAGTTCGAAAAAAAATATGTTTTTTGGTCGAGTAAACAGTAGATGAATGATGATGCTTGGTGGCATATCTGTGCGTGCCGTTAAATTAAGACCAAAATTATGAAAATCGGTCGGGTAGAAGAGCTGAACTGACTCGGAAATAAAGAATCAAATTTAACTCCCATATTAAAATGTACAGTCAGGAAGTTGCTTTTGTTCATAACTCGAAATATGCGTAAAAATGAATGATGGCAAATCTGTGCGTGCATACCTTTTGATTTAAGACTAAAGTTATGAAAATCGGTCGGGTATAACTTAAAATATAGATTGTGTTTCGAACATGAACCTCGGCTACATCGGCCTCTAAATGCATGTAGAAAGGATGCTAATGTAAAACTCATACTTTTGAGACCCGTATAATAAGCATTTTTAGTTTACTACTCAGAGCTAAACTTCTTGTACAGCTCTTACAAGCTTGTATAGTAATTGGGCTGCCGTTATCGATTTTATGCATGTTTTATGTAGGCATAAAAAAATAGAAATTCACAATTCACCTAAATAATTTACTTATTTACCCTGCCAATAGCTTTATTAGCTTTATAGCTCATAAAGTTTATATAAGCTTTATAGTCGTGTTTATAGTTGATGTCATAAATCTTTCTTAGCCAACTACAGTATTGTCTTATCTTTTTTCAACAACTTCTTCTGCTTCTAAAGCCGGACAACTGTATTTTTATCGCCGAGAATTTGGCCTGAGTTTGGGCTCATTTTTTAAAATTATAATATCCACCTAGCCAAAGTTTTTTCAATTTTTCTCACAAATTTTTCATGTTTCCAAACCTAGCATACAGTATAACTAATAACAACAAAATATTTTTATCAGTCCTTGAGCCACAATTGGTGGGGTTTACCACTGTTTTACCAATGCGTAATCACATGTAAAGTAATTGGCTTGCATTTAAGTCATCAGTTTTGAATTGTTTACCGTTTATATTAAGAATTCTCAAAATTTTACTTTTACAATTCCAAAACCTCAGTTCCTAAACAAACATTCCACTAGCCTTTACCGAGTACTCATTCCATTTCTACGGTTCCTCGTATAGAAACAGCTGTTCCTTTATCTCATGACTCATCCTTCCGTTCCATTCCTGTGTTCCTAGTAACCATTAGAACTGATAGGATTAGCTGGAAACTATAATGTAACTTACTGTCGTATCATCGCCTTGGGTTTAGTTTTGTGACAACTTTGCTCCGGGCCATATGTGATATTGTTGTCAAGCAGATACTCATCAGGTCTTTTGAGGTTTGTTTATTATTGTTTTGTTTTTAATTTTAAATTCTATGTTTACTAAAATAATTATACAACTTCTTTATTTTGTTGGATAATATCAGTTTTCGTTTGGAATTGTCTGCTTGTATGAAAATCTCTAGGCTTATTATCATTATAACATTGAGGTTTTTTTTTTAGAAACAGTAGACACGAAAAATGAAAATAGTTAAATAAGTATACATGTTAAGTACAAGCATAGTCAGTTGTTTATTAGTGGAAATCTATACGCACCATTGTAGTTATTATCTTTAATTTATAGGGCGTACAATAATCAACCGAAGTTAATAGTACGTACTATACGTAGGGAAATTATTTCCTATTAAAGACCTTCATATGGTAGCAGCCCTATTTCGTGAAAAGTAATAAGTCTAAATGACTATTTATGGACATTTAACAACATTTTACGGAGTCAACACAGGTATGAAATATCTACAGGTTTTGGATTTGGGACGGAATTGTGAAAGAAATAATCAACACCTCATGAACCATATAATTTACTTATTTGTTTTGAAATTAGTCGTTATCTGCAATCTATCTCTTTTTCATGCCATCTTGGACCAAAAATTATAATCCTACACTTGTCTGTAATCCATCCTTCTATATTGTATAATTTGTAAATTGGCTGCTTGCAGTTCAATAAACTAAGTACAGTTGTATATTAGTTGTAACGCGTATTCATGTAGCATTGAGTTTAGAAATTGGTTCTGCCGTTTTACACCTCTCTCTATTCAACTTTGTTTCAATCGCATTACACCGTCACACATACAAATGTCCATAAATCATTGTAACGCCTCTTGAGTGTTTATGCGTGTTCGTCGTCAAGATAATCGTATCATTACTTATCACCACGCGTCGCTCTTATCACTTATCACTAGACTTGTCTGCAGCGTCATGCCTGGGCTGTGTATGTATTATCAGTATTTGGATACGACATTAGGACGCAATACGTGTATTGCACGATGTATTACAAACAATTCGTGGATTTAGTGACTCGCGTAGACGTCATTGTGGCATTGTTTATTCTTTTGTTCTTTACGTCTGACATGGAATATAATTTGTCCATTACTTCATTGAATTGTAATGTTTAATTTCTATTGTCAACGAGTTTATTTTGTTCTAAAACATTTCGAGTAAACATAGATGCAGAATCTAAGATTACGTTTTCGTCATTGTGGGGTGTTGTTTACATTTTTAAAATAACATGTTTGTGTAGTGTAGATACGACCTTCAGATCTACCAAAACACGATAAAAATACACACTACGAAAATAATACGTAAGCTAGATTTATTTAGTAATTTGTTTAACGTCAATCAGCGAATTTGTTTATACTTATTTCAGTTGTAATACGCTTGATCGTTTTTGTTAAGACGTTTCTCTGTGTAATATAGATACATAATTTTTTCCAGGACTTTCAAAATACGATTAGGCAAGGATATGCATAACTGTTAAGCTTTTCGTCATTTTTACCATTATTTATTCTTGGGTCCATTTTTTACACATTTTAAGTCTTCTGTGTAATGAAATATGTTGATTCGGTCTACCAAAACACGACGATTTGACATACTTGACTAAGATACATTTAGTTAATACATTTCGTTTACTTTTCAAGTTTTAATAGAGTCTGTACTTGTCTGTGTAATAGAGAATTGTCTACACATACGAACGATTAGATTACACATCACCATTACGACTACAGTACAAACATACAGTACATATCCTATGAAATCTGAAGCATTCTTCACTCCTTTGTCAACGTTTAGTTTAGCCTCTATGCAGGTGACAAAGGTAGGCTCACTTTCCTAGAGGCTAGAGGTACAGGGTTTGATTCCCGGCCAGACATTGACCCTACTTCTAGGTATAGAACGCTGACCGTGCCTCGTCCTGTACTGGGAACTGTGAGCTATCGATTACAAGTTATATCGATTACTTATTCATTCGATATTGGGAAACATTGATGAAACAAAAACAAGCCCATGGGGCGTAGCCCAATGGAAATATGAAAATTAAATGATATAATATTGCATTGTCATCCATTTGTGAGCTATGTTTCAAGTCTAGCTCATCGGGAAGTTAGTTTAAAATTGATTGCAAAATTTGTACCGGACAAGAAAGTCAGCTAATAAAAACGTTTTAAAAAAGTGATTTACTCAAATTCTTGACTATCGATGACAACAAAGCATCGATTACACATACTTATTCATTCACACAATGGATTTGCAAGGACCTGTGACAATCGATTATAATAGTAAAATTATTGTACATTTGAAAACGTATACAGAACCATTAATTTCCTGGTTAGGAAGTGGTGTTGGTCTTACTTTTGATCATTTATCAACATTGATCTTCGCCATTTTATCGTTGTACCTATTACTTAATCTAATCTGGATAGGGTGTGAAAACTTTTTTCTAACATTAAAAAAGTTTATTTGTTACAGTTATGGAAAATAATGCTTTAGTAATACCCTTTTGAATAGCAATGTTAAAGTTAAAAATTAACAACTTTTGTATCTATTTGTTATTTGTTCTCTGTGACTACTAATTACAACACCACTGAACTGGATTGGGTTTACTATATAAATATTGGTTATGCTACTTAAACATGATTAGATTACAGTAAACATGTATACATATATGGTACCTACCTACGCATTATGCTGTACTGTATCCCTGATCCTCCTATTATCGACTATTAATCAAGGCAGATGTTCCCTCCCTCATCCCTCAGGACTATATAGTTCCAGGAACACACCCCGAGATGTTCCTAGAATCCCTTTCAGCTGTCAATTATTGATCTTCCCCTTGCCTCTTTGGTTCTCAGCAGGATACCGTGTGTTTGTCACTAAAACTAGGGCGCTTTAAACCTCTCCGGTCCACGTTTTGCAACAATTTATATTTATATTTTCGTCAAATCGTGTTATGTTTATCTCGTTGTACTCGTGATTTGTGCAAATTTATAATTTTTCCATTGACCTCAATGTTTTATAAAATTATTTATTGTTTGCTCGCTTTTTGCTCGATTTTCACTTTAATTCAAAATTGTTTTTCCACCTCGTCATGAGGATAGTGATCAAATTTGTGTTATTTACCTAATCTCCTTTTAAGTCAAACCCCAAGCTGTTAGAAATAATACTTTTTGATGGATTATCCAACAAAATATCACCTAGATGGCATTAAATATTTAGTTGTCACTGGTTTTATTGGCAAGCACAGATTTGGAAATCTTCCCTCACAATTACGGTACACAAACCGTATTTTTCAAGCAGGGTTTGTATTCAATGTATTCATTTTACTGGCTAATGTTTTGAAATTATCTCAATAGATAATTTAGTTTTCGCAAAGTCCTCGGGCGGCCCAGTGGGCTCATCATCCCACTAAAACGTCACAAATGATGAACAGGCACTTAGCTAAGCCACTTGGCTTCTTCTCGCCAGAAGTTGACAATTTCTAATTAATTTCTGTCCATTTTGTCTTCAAGCATTTCCTGTCATGTACACCTGGTTGTTATACCTGACTTGTGATGTTTTCTAGTCTAACCAGTGATGTTTTCATGTTTCAGGCTCGTCGGTAGACATGCTGATCACAACGTGTCCCCGATGTCGCCACGAGTTCCCACTGCCCACCACATGTTGCCACCCCCTGGTGACGCTCCAGCTGCCCCCGGAGGCGGCGTGTACTGTCACAGTTCACCCCCGCCGTGTACATGTCGGCATGACTGGAGGCGGCATCGTCCACGAGCAGGACAACTCCACCTCCAACGTTTTCCTGCAGAAGGTACTTAATATGTGAATATTATATTGGTAGAACTAGAACAACCACTTGGTGTATAATTTTAACCTTAATTGTTTCTGTCCACCCTTAAGACAGCTTTCAACTTAGTAACCTCTCCCAGTACAAAGAGAAACACTTTAATATTAGAGTAGATTGTGCAATCATCAGGAAGTCTTCAGGTGAAGACTGTTGAGAGGAGCAAGCTAAATTCCATTAACGATTATTTAACGTTGGTTCAAATATTATGTTTGAGTGAGACAGTTATTAGGTGAATAAGATCACTGATGTACAATCAATTAGATTGGTTTATTTTAGATTTAGATCTACACCATAAAGACTGAATCAGGTTGCAATTATCAAAAAAGTATCCTATTTAAAATTCATTTTTATAAACTGCTTTGTCTGTCTCTTGTTTATAATCTGACTGTGGCTAAACATTCAATGGAAGGATCAGTTGTTGGATTACAATTTAATTCATATTTACACTGATGTTAAGAATGTTGGTCACCAACACTGGATCTTTCAAAGTGTTCTCTAGAGATAATTGACCCTCAAGGTGGGTAAAACCCTTCAGGGAATTACCTTTTTCCTTACCATTTGCAAGTGCACTGGATCATACGCATTAAAATAACACCTTAGTTGTGGAAAGTAGGTAGGACAGCTTAAAATGGGATATTACAGAGAAAACTCTAACATAACATATTAAGCGTATATCTTTACGTTTATGTTTCTTGGGAAATTGCTTTTACAGTAAATCTCCACAATACATGATCTGTAGTTAATTAGCTCACTTTTGTTACCAGGTGACATCAAACTGTGGAGGAAGACTGATAGTGAACACTCCTCAAGATCTTCTGGGATCCACCACCTCCAGTGGAGGAAGCCTACTGGGCAACTCTCAAGAAGACCTTTCCTCTGTTACCGCAAATTGTGGAGGAAGATTGACAAACGCTCAAGAAGATCTTTCCCCCTCCACCCCAGTGGCGTTTGTGATTCCCACCCCATGTAACCCTTGGGACAAGAGGCTCCCCTTGGAGTCGGACTTAGAAAGGCTTTCGTCGACAGTGAAAGCGTTGAGGACTTCCGGTTGGTACTACGAGGGGCTCAGTTGGCAAGAGAGTGCGGGTTTGCTTGCGCCAACTGCTCCTGGAACATTTCTAGTACGCGACTCCTCAGATCCTAGGTTCCTTTTTTCACTCAGTGTGCAAACCGAGAGAGGTCCAACGAGTGTACGCCTGCACTACCACGAAGGACATTTCAGGCTGGACGCTGCGCAGAAGTTGATTCCGCTCATGCCGGTGTTTCGTTGTGTCGTCGAACTGGTACAGTACTACGTGACGACAACGACTACGAAAGAGAAGAAGATGAAGGGGAGAGAGCAGGTGTGGATAGACTGTAGTGGACAAACGTATTCTAGTATCCTACTGACCAAGCCACTTCTCCAGCGGGGCAAAATCCCCAGTCTACAGCACCTCGCGAGGCTGGAGATCAACAAATTAAAGGCCAACGGTCAATCAGTTCCTACGCATGAATTACCAGATTGTCTTCACAGGTATTTGGCAGACTACCCGTTTATCCAGTGATATGTAGCTTTACTAGGTTAGGTAGCGTTACTCATACCTTGGTAGCGATTATTGAATTTTTTTTATTTTCCCTAAGATTCTAGTAAACGACTCTGGCAAGCTTTAATACATGAAATATTAGTGAATTGATAATACTTGAAATTTTATGTTTTGTTTTACATTTAGTCATGAGTAATTTGTAAAGTTAAACCAATATTAAAACACAATTAGGCATATGGGTTGAAAGAAGTTGATTCTAACCAATGAAAACTCAAGTTGATCTATCTTTTTGTATGAGGTGTGATTTTTTTTGCTCCAGTCGCTGCCAGGTTTGATCGTAACATAGTATACAATAATTATCCTGCTGTACCTAAAATGTAGACTTCATGAAATAGAACAAATTGGATATTTTTCACTACATTTAGAACAGGACTAGTAAATAGAGGGGAAATACATTATTTCTCTTAGTTATGTGGAATTTAAAAAGCTCCTGTGATCAAATATTTGTCCAAATATAGCCTATGATTAACTTTAACATTACACATTAACTTATTTGTTATTTAATATATATTTGTACTTGATCACGCCCTCTGCTATGTTCCCTATGAAGTGCTGTATTTTAGGTATAACCTTAGGGCTGTACCTAAAACAAGCTGCGATGCATTTCGTGGATTCAGCAAGCAAAGATGCTGTAATGACATAATTATGATTAATATTATAGATAACTCAATTTATAATGATGGCTTTTGCTTACTGATAATCCAGAGGGTAAGATAAGGTGTTCCAAGAGCTTGAAAAAATTAAACATGTTAATACATACATATATACCGAAGTTGAAATATACGTCATACATAAAGATATCTTAGATAATAATATTCTGTACGTAGTTTGAGCATTAATTCCTATATTTATCCATCACCTCATCCTAAATATTTATTTCCATCCATGTCTTTGTTCTGTCCTTTTATCATCTTTAATTCTTTAAAAAATTATGACAATTTGAAACTTTGAAAGACAGCTTATATTTTTGGCTTATTAAAATATGTAATTTGGTACCTTTAAGCATTTGGTTGTGATTGTTTTCCATTTTTAATGTTTCCCCGAATTCCACAAATTCGGAGATCTGTTAAATAGCGGTGCTATTTTAGTCCATTTTGTTCGTAATTTGACACACTTTTAATTTTTTTTAAACATTTGTATTGTTATTTCTGTAACTTGATTTAGTATTATTTATTTAGTAGGCTTAGACAATAAATGACCAATTAATTTAATATTTCGCATGTTAAATTATGATTTTGCACTCATGTTATTGTTTTTTTTTTACTTGTGTATTTATTATATTTAGTATTATTATGATTTCTGCGGAAGTTGTTAGTCCTGTACATATGTCTATATTGCATCTCGTGTACATACGGCTGTTTTTTTATTAATGGATCGATTGTTACTGTAAATAAATAAAACTTTTTGTTTTTAATGAAGTGTTTTTCTTTTTTCCAGTGCAATGAAAATGAGATCCATACTATTATATAAAAATGTAATGGTGCCTGTCTGCATGTGTATTACTAATAGGTGCAAAAACATACTTAATTTGCTTTAATTTTGCAAAATATAGCTACCATACGAAGAATGGTAATAGGACTGTTAACACTTTGATACTGACCATGGGCTTTGCACCTTTGGCTTTATAAACACTGAGGCGAGGAAAGTAAATATTGATTGGTCTCCATGCCTGAGAACATTCACAATGCTTCTATTTTTGCTTTGACATTTCAGTGTTAACAAGAAGAACTGCCAAATAGCGTTTTTCACAATTTCAGACAGCTGATCCAGTGAAATTAAATATAATATTTTACACAACTATGTGGTAGGTTTATTTAGTTGAAATAGTAGTTTTTGTTACTAGCCCTAAAGTAGGCTTTTTGGGACGATACCGTGTTTAATGGACGAGGCCTTGCCGAGTCCGGAAATTCGATTAAGTCACAAATAAGCATTTTAGGACGAGTTACGAACAATACTTTTCATTACATTGTCATATATTATAGCAGAAAATACAAAATACAGCCAAAAGCGTTTGATTAAAAAGGAATGTTTACTTTAAAGTTTGTTTATATATTGTTGAAGCATTGTAAAGGATCAGAACAGCTGATTAATTTTTTGGATAAGCTTTGACATAACCATTTTACTCCACAAAAAGCTATCTTTAGGGACTCAAAACAATCCGTAAGACAGCTGTTTTTGAGACAGCGTAATGAAAACATTATTATAGATTATTTATTCTAAAACTATGTCAATGTTTATAGAAAAAAAGATTCTATAACAGTTTCTGTATCAACTCAGGCTCTGCTTTCGTTTTTAAAGTGTCCTAAGTTATGTAAATAATGTTGTTGATTATATCTTCATGGAAATAGTATGAAAATCACAATGTATAGGGATATTTTCCTATAGGGCTATGCCCCACAGGGGTTCAAAGTTTCCATGTGTTTCTTATGATCATTTATATTAAAAATGAGTTAAATAAGGAATTTTGCCTGCTATTTCGACTAAACAAGTTGGTACTATAATATTTAATGACATTAAAAAGCAGCACTATTTTTTTCATTTATTACAACAATGTCTAAAGGAAACTCCCAAAAGAAAAGAAAATGTGAAGTTAACATAATGTTCAGTATATTAATTCAAAATCTATTTAGATAGAATCCTGCTTTTCAAACGATTATAATTTGATACAGCTTTCCTCATGTTCTTGGAAGTTAATATAATAGAATATGCAACTACCAGAGCTGGTGAATAATAATGTATCTTCAAAAAATTCTACAGTATTTTATACTATAAACATACTTTACTGAAATCATTGAAACTTGAGGGTAGCCTACTTTAGTGTATTTCCAAGTTTTTTATTTTTACAGAAACAATGTTTATGTTACATTTTGAGGAAACAATAGGTATATGCTACACAGTATTTTCTGTTATGTGCATTATTTTGACAGTGCATAGTGTAAAAGTACAGTTTACGGCAAGACACCAAGTTTTAAATTCAAATTCTTAATTTGTAAAGCCACAAAAAACAGATGAACCAATTAAACCACACCAATAACACAAAACATTCGAATATATATTTTAGATCTAATCTAACTAAAATATATTAAACGTATATATTAATATATAGACCTAAACTGGTTATGTACTGGTTCAACAGAACAACAAAATGGTAAATTTAAATTAGAATAGATTAACACACAATGCTTAGATGTAATCAAATTTCAAAGGAAATTGATAAGTTTGACATCAAGCAGTATTTGTGTGGTATAAAGGAAGCAAAAGCTGTGTTCAGAAAAAGCATCAGGAATCTGAAAAGTAGAAAGAATACATTAAGAGAACAATGAAGGCTGAGGAAATTCAGGAGGATATTAAACAGTTAACTATCCAATGATAAGAGAAAGGAATTGAAGTAGACAAATTTAAATATCCATTTTCCTACAGTCACCCAACAAAGTGGACTTCCTTGCACTGATTATAGTACAGGAAGCTGCTAATTGCTGCATTTACTTTGCCGCACACTTTTTACTTTGTCAAGTATTCCAACCAAACAACACAAAACAGCGTGCTTTTATTATTTATGCACATAATCCGTGTACGATTGGAAATAGGTTGGCAAAACTACCTAGATACTAACTACGACTACGATCAGCTGTTGCAGTGTTTCCCATTTCGTTCAACCATTGACTATTTTTAAACCTATCCTAAAACGTGTTGTTTAGTATTTGAAAGGCTAATTATTTCTATGCTTTATAATAACTGCAAGAAAAATATAATGTGTAACACGAGTGCAAATTGCCTTTGCTGCACTCTAAAAACTTTCCACACTCGCCTACGTCTCGTGCGTAAACATTTCTTTCGTGTGCAGCAATTTCAATTTGACTTTTTACAAGGTAGTATCATTAGGCTTAGTCTCCCTAGTTCAGGTTTATAAAATATCTCCCGGGTTCTCTATGTGTTTCTACAGTTTATATGATTTAGGGATTTTTAAAGGTGGAATTACAGTAATTCATTGTAAATATATCCATACTATATTTTTTGCTGAGGTGCAAGTCTTTAGGAGTAAACTTCTAAATTCCATATGAAAAGAAGACTTGAAACGACACATAAATACAAACCACTATACCAGTGCTTTGCAACGAGGGGGGGCCTCATAAGAGAAATACCCCCGCCGCAGCAAACCTGCAGACTAAGCGAATTTCCATTTGACTGATTGGATTTACACTGAAATGTCTACTTAAAAATATAACATTTATTCTTGATTTAAATAGAATTAGTTTAACAAGTACTTAGGTTAGCTGCATCAGGGAGGGTAAAACTGTTTTTTTTTTTGTAAAATGTGAATAGTTAGTAAGAAATAAAAACATTTTCCAAATTTGATCAAAATATGTTCACAAACAAGCAAACTACAACAGTTTACTTATTCTCCATAAGAATAACATGGGAATTTTAAATGTACAATTTTTTGGTATTTTCTCCGTAACCATTAGGCGCATAATAACGCTTCAATATACTAAATTATTTGTTTTTTTAAGCTCTACAAAATGGTTTGGAAAGAAATTGCTAAATTTTATGTTTTTTGGGTCAAAAATGGGAAAAACCTATTTTTACCCCATAAAACCCCCCGTAAACCCCCGTTCCCATGGTCCGATCATGCTGGATCGCGAACTCGTTCGAATAAACGTACGTTTACACGTTTGTACCAAATTTCATCAAAATCGGATCATTTTTGCTCGAGTTATCGTGCTGACGGACATATATATATATATATATATATATATATAAATATATATATATATATAAATATATAAATATATATATATATATATATGAATTTGAACGGATGGTGTTTTTGGCCTCTAGGGACCTCAAAACGAAAAAAAAATCGGTCCCGCGTCCAGGTCTTACCATGAGTACTACGGTAATAGCTTATTCCCTATATGGGAAATTCGCTAAAAACTGGTTCTTCAAGTTCATCAAATTAAATAGTTAGTTACAAATCAATCATCAATTTTAGAAAAAAAATAACTGCACCGCTTTAATTTCATGTAAGTATAGGCATAGATAAAACATATGTTTTATCTATGGTATAGGTTTGTTTTCAATTTAGGTAAGGTGACAATTTCGTCTACCTAGTGCGAAACCAGCAGCACTGAAGCACTTATTTGAAACTATTTGATTATAATATATCAATTTTAAAGGTTAAGCATAAAAAAGTATTTAGCCTACTTTTAAAAGCTAGGTGAACTACGAAAAAACTAGGTCAAATTATTTAAAGATTGTTTATTTTAATCATTGAGTACGTAAAATAAAGGATGTAAAATAAGTAAGTAGGTGAAACCCGATTTCGAAAGCTTCTGTTGAGGTTTCAAGCAAAATCATTTAACTATTAAGGGAGGAAGTTGCTTTTGTGCATGACTCAAAATATAGTCAAACAAATGAATGCCGATGCTTGATGGAAAATCTGTGACACAATCTTGGAGTAATAAACCTAGCACATGGTTGTACAAAATATTATAATATCCCATTTGTTTGATAAGGAATTGTGAAATTTAAAGTGAATTTCACAGTACTGATTGTTTACATCCATAGAAATGTAAACATTTTGAGTTGTTGACATGGAGACCAATAAATATTTACTTTTAAAATTCTCACCTCAGAACTTTGAATTAAAGCCCACGAGGCAAGTCAATATCGAAACGGGAACAGCTCCTTACTGATCTTTGGTCATGTGGCTATAAAACATGGTAATACAGTTTTATAATCATTGGTAATACTGTACTAGTTTTTTGTAGCAGATATAAAGGTTTTATTATGGCTATTTCAGGTAATTTCATCAGGCAAAATAGGCTAATCCCAAAATAAAAATTCTCAATTCCTGTTTACATATACTTTTTTGTTTTTAGGTAGTAACGAATCAGCAGTAGTTGATATGTTTCCTAATAAAAATATTGTACTGTGGAGCATGTTCCTTTCTATGACACATCTGCCCACGTAGCCTACGCGCTTTTGTGTATCAGAGAGATGAAGAGAGACAATGAGAGCTTATGTAGAGGAGGGAGAGAGAGAGAGAGAGATCGAGGCGAGTGCAGTGGCTGGACCCGGACCCCAACTTCTTAGAACCCTGATCCCTGCAGTGATTTTGAATGTGATAATCCAAAGCCGGTGGTTTTTGTCCCTTTATCACCCCTCCCCCCTTCCCCGTCACTCTCAAAGCCTCCACAGCCCAGACGGGCTTCTCGGAATATAGAACATGACAAACAACACTGCATAGCTGTCTTCTCTGTTGAAATTAGGGTTTTGTCTGTGACGTGCATTACAATCGAGCCTAAATCATGGAGTAGCCTATAGTGAGAACGATGCGATTGACTTTAAGTGTGGTTTGTTTCAATTGTTTAAAATCTCCA